CACACATGAGATCATGGCCTCACTGCAAGATGGATTAGGAAGAAAACAAGCAAACAGTTGGGAAGACCACTTGGGAGAAGCAAAGGCTGCTCTCCTAGTAGACTGTCTACAGAGTAGATCAACAAACCCATGGGCACATCGGAAGAAACCAGATGCATCAGTATTACAAGCCATCTCCTTAGCTGGTGGAAAACTCACTGGATCTGCACTTGTTACCTTTCTTTCCCATGGAAGTAATGCTAATAAAAAATACTAATAAAACCATCAGGTTCCAGTCCCCCTGCCTTCACACAAACAATTTACAAACATGTTGATTGTGCTATCAGCCAGGTTGGACAAAGAGGGTCAGAGACTGTTATGTCTCAGCAAGTCAGGTTCTGTTCACTGTCTGAGTGGTAGAGAGACACTCTTGAATAGCACAGCTGAAAAGCAGCTTTCAAGAGTAAGCTCAGCTCTCACAGAAATAAGATCCATAAGACAGACACCTGAGGGCACCCCAACCAGAAGAGCTTGAGGTGGGATTTATCACCCCACAAAGCACAAACCCCAAGGACACCATGCTGCATTAGTGCTCGCACCTTCTGGTGCCTTTCTTCTTGACCAGTCCCTTCTGTCCTGTCTTTTTTTGAGCACAGAGCCAAAGTCTCAGCACATGTCCATAAATGTCATCCTGCCAAACCAAGAGGAAAAACTGCATAAAAGGAGAAAGGACAAGAGGAAGAGTAGGAGGCAGCTACTTAGGAAAACTAGATGAGATCCAGAAGGCCCCATCAGCAGCTACTGAAAAGGAACAAGCATCACACCACACTGCAGTGAAACTGTACTCAGCTTTTCTCACAAAGTTTTCTCTGACAGATGTGTTCAGTACCCCATGTCTCACTTCATTTGTCTTTCATCTGTTAACAAGGGATTTTGATTCCTGCTAGTCTGCTAGTATTTTTCACCCAGTTACAGGAATCTAAGTCTGGACAGACCTTTGAGAACAGACATCAAAAGAAGGAGGCCATACCACAGCTTGTAAACTGACCAACTGATCTGCAAATTGCCTTACCTTGAAACACAGCTTACAGCACTGCAGCCATTCATTTCAGGACTAATTGTCTTAACCTAAATTACAATGAGCAGGAAAGGCAAAGATAGCTTCTATAAAAACAAATACTGTGGCAAATGCTCCAGCAGCAGTGTTACTGGGTGAGGCAATGAGGGCTGCCCAAGCATAGTGGAAAACATAATGGGATGAAATCATTCATGTATCGGTGATCCTCTTTGAGTTGACAATCCATCAGTCTTCTCTGATCCCACCTTCAGCTGGCAAATAGAAGGAAGAAAGCATCTTATTTTAAGCAGTGTAATCTGATAAGGACCAGAGCAATACAATAAACATATAGCCACACAGTTTTTTAGAGCCTGCTTTTCAGAACAGCACTTGAAGGCCATGGAATTCCACAGACCTGACAATGCAGCTATTTGAATTCAATGTGTGCTTGCTGTCTGTAATCTGCAGCATGGCTGACTAATGCAGTATGTGTCATGTTTGAATACATTACATTGCACTGATAATAGAGAAATTAAGAGTCAATTAAGGGTGGTCAAATAAAATAAAATCCAGGTTTATATATGATTACTATCGAAAATGCTGTCATGAGCTATTCTATACATTAATTAAGTTGGGCTGAGGTGGACACAAATCAGTCCTATGATTAAAGCTTTCAGAGTTCAAAACTTTGTTTCCTAACAAGCCCTTGCTTTCACATTAACAATAAATTGTTATATCAAGGCCCTTAAAGGGCCAGCAATTAGGTTTGAAATTAGACAGCCACTTTTTTTCTTTTTGGCACATACAGTACACTTAGAAGTCTCCAACTTGCCATTGTTTTGCCAATTATTAGTCCTAGCCTAAAGGACACAGCCAGCATAAAGATGAACCAATAACCAAATTGTATTTGATACAAGAGGGTCAGTACATGGGTAAGCACTGGGGGTACAAACAAGTCAGTCAGATTATACATAATCAACATCCATCCCACTGACCCCAACAACACCACCACACAGCCAACAATGGGTGGAATAAATGGTGAAATGCCGTTTCCCATAGAAGGGATGGTAGACAACTGAGTCAACAAGCCAAATAACATAAGATCAAGAAAGCCACATACTGAATCTCTACACAGCCCACATTGACAAAAGCCAGACCTGACTGGAGCCCAGTTCCAACGAGGCAGGAGGTTCTTCCCCAGCAGAAAACTCTGCAAAGCGCATCCGCTTCACAGACAGACACCACCCCTTCCTGCAAGTGGTCCCAGCTTTTACCCCTAAGTGGGACACCTGACCTTTGGTTACTTAATGTGGGATACTTGGGGCTCGTTTACTTAATGGCTCTCCGTGCAAGGCAGCCGCACCCTGGAGGGAAGCTTAAAGGTAAACTCACCCCCCCTTTGTGCAGGGCTGTGGGAATCACACATATGTCACTCTTAATTTGGGGATTGGGGTTGAAACTCCAGCATTTCAGCCATGCGTGTTGCTCCTTCACATTTCAACACTCACTACTCCAGCATCACTCCTCGCCCCATCTAGTCTTGGTTTTTGTTTCCCACAGCCAATCTGACATCATGTTTCATAGGGCACTGTGGTTTAGACCTGTCATCTCTTACCATGCACAGTGAGATTCCCCTTCCTTCCCACAACATTATTGCACCTGCCAGTGCTGTCTGCTTGATCGTATGAATTTGGAAAGACTGTCACAGGCACTGAGGTAGGCAGTATCTCAGAAAATTTGTCTGTGCTCTCTTACCCCCTTAGGGGATTTTAAATGATGTGCAAGATGGCAGATCTTCAAAGTTATTAACACACACTGAAATGGGTGGTATTTAAGCAGCTAAAAACCAATATGGACCAGAAACACTATCCTTTTGCATTCATAGAGCCTTTTGTACGCTTACTTACGATGTGGGCTACCAGACTCTGTCCTAGACTCTCACCTATTATAAATCAATGTCCTGCTGGTTTGTACAACCAAAGACCTGAGCTAGTGAATCAACAGCTTGTTTTTCTGAATCTAAACTCTCATTTAGAATGAGGAGTCTACACAGACCCCTGCCTGTGCCTTTTGTAAAGCTCTGAAATATTAAATCAAAAGTCCTTCTAAATTCATTCTCTTTTCCCTTTGAGTAGAGCAGCAACATAATACAGCACAGTCCTGCAGCAGGAAGAATTTGTGGCTAGCAGCTGGATAAGCCTCCAGTAGCAGCAAATTAGGGGGCTGTGCTGGTTTTGACTGGGATAGAGTTAATTTTCTTCATAGTTAGTATGAGGCTATGCTTTGGGTCTGAAACAGAAAAAAATAGTTTGGCATTTGAACACGGTCCTGCTTTGTTTTATCAACAGTCATTTTTACCAAGCTCACATCTGAAGCAGCACAGGCATCTACAAAGTAGGTCAACCACTGGTTTGATCCCAAGACACTGATACAGGCAAAGCTGGAAAGGCATCTTGGAGACATTAGGTATCGTGCAAACTTCTCATGCCTCTCTCCACCCAGAGTCACTACTAGATATGCCAGACATTGCTGTTTCTGTTAGAACTCTCCTATTATGGCTTGGTCCATGCAGCTCTGTTCTCAGCTACCTCATCCCCTGTTTTATTTATCTGCACAGCAGTGACAGTACTGCTAATTTTGGTCTGCTCCCAGCTATTTTAATCCTGAGCAGAGATTACAACAAACTATTGCCAGTCCTTTCCTCCCTTTCCTTTCCCCTGAAAAAACAGGTTACATTGCAACAGTGTGAGAAACTATGGACTAGGGTATTGTTTATTAAGATTTATGTTAAGCTTAATGTAAAGGCTAGGCAACAAAATGAAATCGCTTATGCAAACAGCTACCAGACACCGCTTGTGTAAGATAAGATAACCGCAATCGCTTACACAAATTAAACCAGATACCGCTTGTGCAAGATAACCGCCAGATTTCCAGGAATCAACAGAAACAGGACAAACAACCCCATATAAGGACATATGAGTGAGGGGTCAGAAAATGACCCCCTAACAACAACTGAAGCATGCAGAGTACCTCCACTACTTCATGAACACGGAAGTAAAGATGTATAAAAAGGGACTGTTTGAACTGCTCAGTACGGCAGTTGGCGGAGCGCAGACTCCCCTGCCGTCCAGCGCTGTCTTTGCTCATCTTCTACTTGTTATAATTAATAAAATTTTAATTGGATTATGATCCATTGTGGTCTCAATTTATAACAATTCCTGGTGCCGTGACTCGGATAAGGAACGGTGGGCTTCTGTCCTCCGGGGAGGCGCCCCGCGGCAATCCACGGCCCTGCGACCGACAGCCTACTCAACCTTACCGACGAACCTAAATTCTAGAATAATGAGAAAAGGAGAAACCGGTAAAATCCCATAAAATTCTGTGCACGGGAGTCCGGACAAAGACGCAGGATGCGTAAGTATATTGCGAATTTGTTCGCGGGTTTGCCCTTCGGGCGGGATTGGGTTTCCTGGAATATAACGAGTGAGAGGTTCTATATACTGAATCAAGCGAGCATGGACTCTTAAGTACTGCGTTTCCCATCTCCCGCGAGGGACTGGGCCAGGAACAAGGGGAGCGAGTGAGTGTATGTTTGTGGATATTCCAGAAGATGGGGGCGAAGGGCAGCAAGCCTTTGACTCCCATGGGAAGGGTACCCACTGTACCTAAGAATACCCCTCTGGCATATATCTCAGACAACTGGAGACATTTCCCTGGAACACTAGAAAAAGATAAGCAGAAAATGATAGAATATTGTACTAAGATATGGGGAGGGAAGAAGATTTCTAAAAATGTCTTTTGGCCAGTCTATGTGTCAGAAGAAGATTGGGTAAGACAGCGATTAAACCTCTGGGTTAATAATAAAAAACTCCTTAACCTGGAGGAGAGTCAATATGCGGAAGTGTGGCTAGAAAGACCGGGAGCTAGACTTTACCCACTGAATGAAGTAAAAACTAAACAAAAGAAAAAGAAGGAAGAGTTAGATGAAACCCTTCTAACCCCCCTCCTTACATTCCTCCTCCTGCTCCCGCAGCCCCTCCAGAGGTCCCCAGAGCGCCCACTCCACCACCAGAGTTGGAACAAGGGTCTCCCCCTCCTCCTAGACGTGTGACTAGAAGTCAAAAAGGGGCAGCTCAGATGTATCCTCTAAGGGAAATGCCCATGGGGGGACCTCAACCTGTGATTGGATATATTTTTGTACCCCTAAACTCGGCTGACCTACTAGATTTTAAAAGAAGCGAGATGGGAAACTTAATTGAGGACCCACTCGGAGTGGCAGAAAGATTAGATCAATTTTTGGGACCAAACCTTTATACTTGGGATGAGATGCAATCTATCCTTGGTCAGTTATTTACTACCGAGGAAAGAGATATGATTAGACGAGCAGGAATGAGACTGTGGGATGCTCAGCATGCCCAGGGACCCCAAGCAGATATTAAATGGCCACTCCAAAGACCTAATTGGGATAATCAGGATCCGGTGCATAGAACTCATATGCAGGACCTGAGAACTATAGTAATTCAGGGGATTAGAGAAGCAGTACCCCGTGGCCAAAATATCAATAAAGCATTTAATGAAATGCAAAAGAAAGATGAAAGCCCTACTGAATGGCTGGAACGACTGAGGAAAGCCCTTCAGCTGTACTCTGGGGTAAATCCAGACGACCCTTTAGGGCAAGCGCTCCTTAAAACTCAGTTTGTGGCAAAATCATGGGAAGATATCAGAAAGAAGATTGAAAAGTTAGAAGACTGGCAGAATAGAGGGTTGGATGAATTATTGAGGGAAGCTCAGAAAGTCTACGTAAGGCGGGAAGAAGAGAGCAGCAAGCGACAAGTAAAAATGATGGTAGCAGCGGTCAGAGAGGATCGCAAAGAGCGGACTGGTGAATACAGATCTGCTGGAATGAAACAAAGGAACGTAGTAGTAAAGAAGGAACAAGGATGTTGTTTTTACTGTGGAAAGAAAGGACATATAAAAAAGAATTGCAGAGAAAGGATCAGGGATGAGGAAA